TACTCATGCTCTGTCTCTCTCTCCGTCTCTCTGTCTCTCTCTCTCAAAAATAAACATTAAAAAAAAAAAGGCTGGTTGATATGTTTCATTTCGTGTGTGTGTGTGTGTGTGTGTGTGTGTGTGTGTCCTCCAAATCCTACTGATATATCAAAATAAATGTAAAATGAATACATCCATGACTGCACTGGAAAGTTGGCTGAGGCATCTTCACAGACCAGATTGGTGGAGAATAGCTGAAATATGCAGCACAGATCAGGTTTATGATAAAACCTAACAGAGCAGTGGAATTTTGGTCCCATGAAAGAAAGATGGGACCACCAAAGAAATTATTTTCTTTCTAACAATTCTAATATTATACACAGGGGAGACTTCATGTATAATTGTTGAGTAATCAAGTAAAGGACCAAGCACAGCTGTAGCAGTACTCTACTTTTCATAGTGGCTTTCACAGTCTGTCCCATCTGGTGGGCATTCTGACACATGAGAAACCAGAGTGAGCACTGGAGTCAGTGAAATAGTTTAATTTAGAAATAGTTTAGCCCGAGATTATTTATGGCTGCCATGAAGAAAGGGGTTCCTTGAATGTATTAGATGAGCTACTCACATACTCTAGAAAAATGCTTTCTTGGACATAGACAGTAAAGGAAAGCAACTGGAGCCTGGTATTCTGTCATTAGAAATGATTTCCACTGTTAGGTAAACAAACAATGTCAAAAATCAACAAACATGGGAATAAAACTACCACAAAAAGCATAAAAAGTATAAGTAGAAGAAGTAACCCCTGAAGAAAAATTGTTAATACAAACAACAGAAGACTTTAAAGTAACTATAATTAGTATCCCTCCAAGTTATTATAGAAGATATGACATCCAAAAATAAGAATTAGAGTTCTTGGAAATCAAATATTCATCCATTAGCAAATATCCATCCAGGATTCATCCATTAACAAACAAAATCTCACCTTGGTAGGTGGGCTGCATAGCAGAGAAGACAATGACTGACTATCAAATTAGTTAGGGGTATCATCAAGCTGACAATGTAAACAATTAAACAAGTAAAAAGTAATGAGAGAAGAGTTAATAAATTAATAAACATGGGGGGCGCCTGGGTGGCGCAGTCGGTTAAGCGTCCGACTTCAGCCAGGTCACGATCTCGCGGTCCGGGAGTTCGAGCCCCGCGTCAGGCTCTGGGCTGATGGCTCAGAGCCTGGAGCCTGTTTCCAATTCTGTGTCTCCCTCTCTCTCTGCCCCTTCCCCATTCATGCTCTGTCTCTCTCTGTCCCAAAAATAAATAAACGTTGAAAAAAAAATTAATAAACATGGAAGACAGATCCTGGAATACCAAAATCCTTCTATTAGAAATTTCAAAAAGAGAGGAGAGAGAGAATAGAGGATAGGAAATAATAAAAGAGGTTAGAGAAGAAAATTTTCATGAGTTGAATAAAGACATTAGTCATCAAGTGCCAAGATAAAAACAGAGAGGGAGAAAGAGAGAGAATGAGAGAGAGAGAGAGAGAGCCCTGTATTTAGACACATACAGCATTCAGGTGACATTTTTTCTTTTTTATTTCAGGTGACATTTCTAAAGTCCAAAGATAGTAAGAAAAGTCCAAGAGTTTCATCAAGGTAAAAATAGGAATCTATAAATAAGAATCAACTTTCATAAGCCATACAGAGAAAGACAGATACCATATGTTTTCACTCTTACGTGGATCCTGAGAAACTTAACAGAAACCCATGGGGGAGAGGGGAAGGAAAAAAAGAGGTTAGAGTGGGAGAGAGCCAAAGCATAAGAGACTCTTAAAAACTGAGAACAAACTGAGGGTTAATGGGGGGGGGGGGGGGGGGGTGGTGGTGGTGGTGGGAGGGAGGGAGGTGATGGGCATTGAAGAGGGCATCTTTTGGCATGAGCACTGGGTGTTGTATGGAAACCAATTTGACAATAAATTTCATATATTAAAAAAAAAGAATCAACTTTCACAAAAAGAATCTATTGTAGAATAATATCTTCACAATTCTGAGGATGAAAGATTTTGAACTCAAAATTCCATGCTCAACCCATGAGAGCAGAATACATTACAATTTCAAAAGTGCAAGGATTCAGAAAGGTAACCACTCTCAAAAGTTTCTGAAAGAATTGCTTGGAGATGTATTCCTCTGAGATAATGAAATAAATCAGGTAAAGAGGAAAACAGGAGAAAAAAAGTGGCAAACCAAGAAATGAGTAAACCAATTACTTGTTTATAATGTGGTTGTGGACAAAATGTATTGTCAATAAATTATTCAGAGGGAAGAGACACATAACATAAAAAATTAATAACGTGGAATTAGAATTTTGGATGATTTAGCAAAACATAAAAGGTGATAAAAGAAGAGGGGAAGGGAAAGTGCTAAAGGAACTGTTTCATTTCAAGAGTGGTGGCTATGGGCATTAAATCCCAACACCAATTAAAGAAACTTGAATATGTTTATTAATAAATTAATAGAAATGGATGCATAACTTTCAATCCAGTAAAGAGGAAGGAACAGACAAATACAGTCAGAGCTGAAAAGGAACAAAAAAAAAAAAAAAGGACAAGAAAACATTACACAGAAAACACAAAACAAAATGGCATGAATAAGACTAACCATCTGGGTGGTAACAATACATGTGGAAAGGTTAAACCCCAAGTCTCAGCTGTAAACAGTTTATGAGAAACATGCCCCAAACCAAATAGTCCAGAATGGATTAAGATTTAAATCTTGGAAAAAAGAACAAATTACTTCAAGTTAAAATCAGAATTTGGCAGCAACAATTTTGGAGGGCAAAAAGCATCTGAACAGACTCTTCCTGATGAATCTTCAAGAGGGAGTTGGCAAGTTGGGTGACGAGTGCTCCCAGAGGGGCAGGGAGACACATGGAAACAAAGGAGGGCATCTTGGCAATGATTTTTTTTTAATTCAACACCAAAAGCAAAGGCAACAAAAGCAAAAATAAGCAAGTGGGATTGCATCAAACTAAACTTCTCCACAGCAAAGAAAACCATGAGCAAAATGGAAAGACAGCCTACGAAATAGGAGAAAATATTTGGAAACCATGTATCTGATAAGAGGTTAGTATGCAAACTAACAAACTATACAAAAATTTCATTTAACTCAACAGTAAAAAACCAAATGACCCAATTAAAAAATGGGTAAAGGATCTGAATAGACATGCTTCCAAAGAAGACATACAGATGGCCAGCAGGTACATTAAAAGGTGCTCAACATCAGGGAAATGCAAATCAAAAGCACAGTGAGATATCACCTCACAGCTGTGTGAATGCCTGCCATAAGAAAGATGTGAAATAACAAATGTTGTCAAGGATGTAGAGAAAAGGAAAACCCTTTTCACTGTTGGTGGGAATTTAACCAATTTAACCCACCACTGTTGGTGGGTACAGCCACTATAAAAAAAGTTACGGAGGTTTTTCAAGAAATGAAAAATAGAACTCCATGTGATCCATCCACTTCTGGGTGTATGCAAAGGAAACGAAGTCATTTTCTCAAAGAAATATCTGCACTCCCATGTTCATTGCAGCATTATCCACAATAGCCAATGTATGAAAACAACCTGTGTCTGTTGATGGATGAGTGGATCAAGAAAATGTGATTACACACACACACACACACACACACACACACACACACAGAGGAATATAATTCAGCCTTAAATTCTGTCATTTACAACAACATAGATGAACGCAGAGGGCATTGTGCTAAGAAGAGAAACATCAGACAGAGAAAGACAAATACTGCATGGTTTCACTTACATGTGGACACTTAGAAAAGTGGTTGTTAGGGACTGATGGGGAGGGAAAATAGGGAGAGATTGGCAACAGGGTATAAGCTTTCAGTTATAAAATAAATAAGGTCTGGAGATCTTATGTAAAACATGGTGACTAGTTGATAACACTACATTGTATAATTAAAATTTGCTGACAGTAGAACTTAAATGTTCTGAAGAAGAAGGAGGAGGAGGAGGAAGAAGAGGAGGAGGAGGGAGAGGAGGGAGGAGGGGGCAGAGGGAAGAGGAGGAGGAAGAGAAAGAAAGGAAGAAAAAAAGCAGAATGGAAAGCCTTGAGAGTACTGTTGAAATGGATTAGACTGGCTGTGAGGACATAAAAACCCATTATCAGAGAATGTTCAGGACTTCTATTTTCTAGGAAAAGATAATGCATTTTAATGACTGCACTCTTGGCAACAGATAACAGTGTTTCTATTGTAAGTTATTTTGATATGGCCCTTAGAGCAAGTCACAACTCACAGTAGGTTCTAGTTTCACCATCAGAAAAACTATACAGTGTTATGAATAAGTCACGAATACCACCTGCCTTAAAGGTTACCACATTCAAGAGACTGTTTTTAACAAATACCACATTTGTTGGGGGGAAGGGGAGGGGCTTTAGTTAACAGGCATCTTGGAATCTTTGCCATAACAAGCGATCTGTGCCAGACCTGTTGGACCAGTGTGATTCCCCAGAGGGTTGTTGAGATTTGCTTATACACATTGCTACAAAGGCATAACACTCGGCACCAGTTTGCAAACTCAGGCAAAACCACCAAGGACACCAGTAGATTCAGGAGACCCAGGTCTGTGCACACAAACAGCTTGAATCAGCGACTGCCTTGAGTTCCTGGTGTGCATCCTTGGTCCTGCTTCCTGGGGGCATTAGTCCTGCAGCCCTAGCATGTCCTGGCTGTGATGTCAGACCTGGACCATATGACTCCATGAATGTCTGGAGAAGCCAAGGCAGGGACCTGAGGGGGTTCTGCTTTACTTAAACCCAACTCCCTCCAGTGGCAATCATGAATTTACTGTGGGCAAACCCACATTTACCAGTGTTCAGTTTCCCTGAGGACGGCACTGACCTTTCCAAAAAGCTCGTGCATTTGGGTACTGTATGTACATGCTAGCTGGATGTCAGTTCTAAGGTGTGATTTTGTCTTTATGGTATTTTAGATTGCTCTGGAGATGCGTTCCTAGTGGGAGCTATGTAGCCACATCTTCAAAGCAGGAGTGAAAATCAGAACAGAGCCTGTAACTGACACTATCAGAAAGAGCCACAGAAAGATTCGGTCCAGAACTTGGGCTACGAATTTCCAGTCTTGTACTACCTGCAAAAGAGAAAAATATGCCTTCCATTCAATATGCAGGGCAACTGTTCTGAATTCATTTCAAGGGATTGAAAAACAGTAATATTTGGATTTACAGCACTTCATTTTTCAAATTCACCTAACACATCCCCTGCAACGTAGGCTCAGATTCTCCCCCGTGACTTCCGTAATAATAGTGCCCAAAGGAAACAGCCTGTGAACATTTTCATCAACATAGAAGACGTAAAATAGAAACAACTGAATCATTTATGCATTTGTAGAACAATATTGATCCAAATGGGAAAGGACTGATTTTTCCACAAATAAAAAGCCAGTATCTCTTACTAGGATCTTCCTGACCTCATATATGAAATGAATCATAAGCTTATAAATTAAAAATTTTCATGGCCAAATATTATAAGCCTTCTTTTCTTCCACTCCACATGTGGGTATGGCTGCTATTATCTCTGGAATGCCAGAAAACTGCGTGGAGGAGAAGTGACCATGAGATGACAGGAATCTGCAAGGGAGAGGGAAGATCTAGTCCCTTTGGAGGAAGGGAAGTTGGGGGAGAGTGGGGAATAAGCCTATAAGAGCAAGGTCAAAGCAGCAACAAGTTGAGAGGCCAAGGAGGTCTGAAGGACAGGTGCCAGTTTTCCTCTTTCGAAGGAAAAGAACTGTCACATTTCTACTGTATGGGTTTTTTTTTTTGTTTTGTTTTGTTTTTTAATTTTTTTTTTTCAACGTTTATTTATTTTTGGGACAGAGAGAGACAGAGCATGAACAGGGGAGGGGCAGAGAGAGAGGGAGACACAGAATCGGAAACAGGCTCCAGGCTCTGAGCCATCAGCCCAGAGCCCGACGCGGGGCTCGAACTCACGGACCGTGAGATCGTGACCTGGCTGAAGTCGGCCGCTTAACCGACTGCACCACCCAGGCGCCCCATGTATGGGGTTTTTTGAAGATGGACTAGAACAGGACTTATAGAGAGGGGACATAGGTACTGATGTAGAACCAGAATGCATTCTGCACACATAGAGGTTTAGGAATAAAACCTTGGGGAAAAACACAAAAAAGATGTGTTTAAAGTGTCGATCTTAAGTGGTGGGATTATTAATTATTTTAAATCTGTTTATATTTTTTGTATTTTCCAAATTCTGTACCCTGATCATGTGTTACTTTTATCATTTTTAAAAAAAGCTAGTTGAGTCTTTGAATTCAAATTTTTAAAAGATAGAGAAACAACAACGAACAACCCGTAAGAATAGCAAAAGAGGCACCTGGGTGGCTAGTCGGTTAAGCCTCCAACTCTTGATTTTGGCTCAGGTCATGATCTCATGGTTGTGAGACTGAGCCCTACATCCGTCTCTACTCTGAGCATGGAGCCTACTTAAGCTTCTCTCTCTCCCTCTACCCCTCCCCTGTTTGTGCTCACTTGCAAGCATGTGCTCTCTCTCTCTCTCTCTTAAAAAAAAAAAAAAAAAAAAAAAAAAAAAAAAAAAAAAATGGAATAGCTGAAATGTTAGTTCTATAGCAATGGGTGAAAAACACAACAAATAGTAAGAGAATATGCTAGGTAGTATCTAGATAAAGTATAGATACATGTTTCCTTAAAAAATGTCTTCCATAATTTTGTTTATGGGATCAGGCTCTTAGCACTAATTTGCACTTATTTTAGAGTAAAATAATTGAACCCTACAAATTGTCTTAAAATTTGTTTTAAGCATCAGGTAAGATCTGAATCCAGAACTGTTTTGAGTATGAAATCCACACTCGTGCCACACTTTTTTTTTAATGTTAGCCAAATACCCACACCCTTTTCCCTCACCAAAATATCTGTTGGAACACTGTATATTTACATTAATCCCGAAGTCTAATTCTGTTCTTTTATTTCCAAATACTATGGCTAGAAATAACCACCATTGAACTAAAAACAAGAGGTAAATTACCAGAGACCAGGATAACCAATTTAAAATGTAAAATTAGGGGCGCCTGGGTGGCGCAGTCGGTTAAGCGTCCGACTTCAGCCAGGTCACGATCTCGCGGTCCGTGAGTTCGAGCCCCGCGTCAGGCTCTGGGCTGATGGCTCGGAGCCTGGACCCTGTTTCCGATTCTGTGTCTCCCTCTCTCTCTGCCCCTTCCCCGTTCATGCTCTGTCTCTCTCTGTCCCAAAAAAATAAATAAACGTTGAAAAAAATTAAAAATAAAATAAAATAAAATGTAAAATTAAATTATTTTAAATAGGGGCGCCTGGGTGGCTCTGTCGGTTGAACGTCCGACTTCGGCTCAGGTCATGATCTCACAGTTCATGAGTTCAGGCCCCGAGATGGGCTCCTTGATATCACCACAGAGCCTGCTTCAGATCCTTTGTCCCCCTCTCTCTACCCCTCCCCTGCTCACTCTCTCTCTCTCAAAAATAAACATAAAACATTATTTTAAATAGAGTCAAGTCTAATTATAAGGGATGGTGCTTAATCTATACTTGCTTCTTTTTTGCCCATTCTGTTTCTGTGAACTGCTTCCTAAAGATCCATACTAAAATTTTTATTCATGTCAGGGCTTGTTTTACATTTTACACGTGAAATGCAGATAGCTAATAATGCCACATTTTAAAAATGACAGTATTTTATTGTAAATAGATGTGAGAATATTGGTTCTTGCACATTTCAATGGCAGCAGTGTAATGAATACCAGCGTACTCACCTGGTTGATAAAATGCTCTTTCTTCACATGCCTTGAAATGTATCTAATGGAATTAGCAGCCTTTTCCAAGAAAGCAACAAGAACTTTTTCTCCATCACTAATCTGTCTTTGTTTCCTTTTTTCTAGAACTTTACCTTTCACCACTGGTTGGCTCTCATCTTTGTCTGGGAAAGAGTAGCGATCCATGTGGTCCTTCATACAAAGCAATTTAGGAAGTTTTTGTAGAAAGAGTCTCTTAACCCAGGGGGCCATGGGATGGTAAGTCGAAGAAGATCTGTGGTGAACATTAATCACGAAAACAGTAACAATAATCGACAGGGTAACGAAAATCATTATGAACAGCAGGTACTCCCCAATGAGAGGAATGACTTTTGAGGAAGATGGGATTATTTCCTCAATTACTAGAAGAAAAACTGTCAGGGAAACCAGAACAGAGGTTGATAGCGAAAGCTTTTCTCCTTCATCAGAAGGCAAATAGAACACAAGCACTGTCAGAAAAGACAGCCCCAGGCAGGGGATTATCAGGAAGAGGGTGTAGAACAGGGGTAGGCGGCGCAGAACAAAGGAGTAAGTGATGAACGGATAGGAGTAGGTGCCATCTCTCCTGTTGCCCTTCATCCCTTTGGCATTGAGTATTTCCCATTCTCCATTATCGAAGAAGTCTTTTCTGTCAACATTTTCATTTATCAAAACGAGATCAACCATGGTACCATCGTAAGTCCAGGATCCAAACTTCATGGAGCAGTTCTGCCGGTCGAATGGAAAAAACGTGACGTCCATGGTGCATGAACTTTTGTAACTGGCTGGAGGGGTCCAAATGACGGTGCCATTAGATCTCACTATGACTTTGGTCATGAGGGAGCCTTCGAAACGTCCATCTGCACTGTGGTAAAAGCAGTTGGACACTAATGAGTTGGGGTTTTGCCCACCCCTCTACTATTTGTATTTATTACTTTACTACTACTACGGTGTCAAACAATATTTCAAAAAGAATCAGTTCTCTTCTTACTTAAATCTGTACATTTCTCTTAATCATTTTGCCAGAATCAGGCTTTGCCATCTCTAGTCCTAATCTGACCAGTGTATGTTTCTTCTGGGATACTTACTTTTCAAAGAGAACTATGTCAGGAAGCCAGAGAGATTCTGATGGAACTTTAATTGAACGAATTCCACCATATTCATCAGGGTTCCAACGTAACTTGTGGTCTGTCCACTCCTGCATTAAATTAGCATACCGAAATTTTAGTCTGAAAATTCAGTGTATTAGACTTTGGAATCTTCAAGTTTATGTGAATTTACTAATCCAGTGCTTTATTTAAAACAGGGAAATTCATCCATTTTAGATCTTACGACCTTATCTGTAGCTCAAGATACAGGTTGAGCCCAACTGGCCTCTGATCTTGCCCAGGCCCACACAGCCCTCCTACCTGGGATTTCCCAAATTGCCATATCTACTTCCCAATGGAGAGTCTGAGCAACAAACACCATTGATTGGTGATCTATTTTTTCAGCCTATTTTCTCTTAAGAAACAAAAGAAAAGCAATGATAGATCTAACTCAGTCTATTCTAGAAGAGTTGGCCCAGGAATATTTTAATCTCATGAAAATGGATACAAACAATTTTTAATATCGCTTGAGTCTTGGACAAACATCCACCCAGTATGTTAATATGAAACATCCAGTATCCACTGATTAGTCTTGATAACATAACTGTATCCCAATGAAAATATATTTTCCAAGAATTTCCTTTTAAGTTCTAATCTGAATTTATTTTGTGACCACTCAATTACAGTTTTAAATTATATTCCTAATACTGTTAGCCTCCAGATACTTACATATTTTTCCTCACATACTTACATATTTTTCCTCATAATACAATGAAATCATTTAGCATGCTTTACAGGAGCTAATGGACCCAGATTAACAAACCTGACCATTAATTGATTGGCTTATGAAGGTCAAGAGGATGATGTATGGATGATCCAATTACAGCAGAAGTGGACTTTCTTAAAAAGATTTTGGATCCAGAATCTTATGAAATCTGACCTGAAAATTAAATTCTTCTATCCCATTGTCCCTCATGTAGACAGTTGAGTAATGATGTAGGATAATATGAAACGACATTTCAGAAAGTTTCAAGGGTGTGCCTGCCCAATGTGAGGCTTCCTGGAGCCCAGTGATGCCAATGTTGTCATTAAAAAATCAGGAGACAGCAGATGGGCAACTTCACTAGATGGTAACATATTGAAATATGCATGATGCCTGAAAAAGTATGAGACTGTACACTCCAGGTGAGACATTGTCTACCTGAGACAATATTTGTGAGGCTTGATCCTTGGAAAACAAATTTAAAAGGATATGGCTCATTAAAAAGCTACAAGCTAAAGGATAAAAGATTGCGTGACTATTTATGGAAACCCATGTATATGAAGATTGACAGTTTAAGAGCCCAAACTAATAAAGTATTTACCATGTTTACTTGGTACTCACAGGCTTCTCTCTTTTTACTCTTCCTCTGCCCATTTTGAAAAGCAAGTGCATTTTCCTTCCTATGAATAATTTGTCTCCTGCTAAGGAGACTTGTACCACCAGCAGCAGGTCTGAATCTCAGAAATGTTCAAGGGAACCCAGAGTAGCATTTTTTGTTTCCCTCTCACTTGGCTTACTTCTCAAAAATTTACGTACAATAAAATTCACCCTTTTTGTGTATGGTGTTCTATGCAAACAGTTGTATAATCACTGATGCCATCAAGACACAAGAACGGCTCTGTTGCCCAAAAAGTGTTCCTCGTGTTGCTCCTTTGTAATCCACTCTCCCATTCCCAACCCCTGGAAACCACAGATCTAGTTTCTGATCCTATAATGTTGCCTGTGGTCATATAAATGAAATCATACAGGAGAGAGCCTTTCAATACAGATTGCTTTTATTGACCATAATGTATTTGGGATTCTTCTATGTTATATTAGTGCTTTGTTCATTTTTTGTGTGTGTGATTTGTTCATTTTTATTAGTGAGTAGTATTCCCTTGTATGAAAATACCACAATTTATTATCCTTCTCCAGGAAGGGTATTTGGATTCTTCCAGTTTTTTAAAAAAAATTTTTTTAATGTTTATTTATTTTTGAGAGAGACAGAGACAAAGGGTGAGTGGGGGAGGGGCAGAGGGCGAGAGGGAGACACAGAATCTGAAGCAGGCTCCAGACTCTGAGATGTCAGCACAGAGCCTGACATGGGGCTTGAACTCACAAACTGTGAGATCATGACCTGAGCCAAAGTTGTGTGCTTAACCGATTGAGCCACTCAGGAGCCCCTGGATTCTTCCAGTTTTTAATGATTACAAATGAAGTCCCTATAAATATTTTGTGCAGTTTTTTGAGTGAAAAACATTCTTTCTTTCTCTTGGGCAAATACCCAGGAGTGGGATGGTTGGGCCATATAATAAGAGTATCCATTTTTAAAAATATTTATTTATTTTTGAGAGAGAGAGAGTGGGAGAGGGTCAAAGAGAGACGGGGATAGAGGCTCAGAAGCGAGCTATGCCCTGACAGCAGAGAGCCTGATGCAGGGCTCAAAACCATTAGCTATGAGATGGTGACCTGAGCCAAAGTTGTATGCTTAACGGACTGAGCCACCCAGGTGTCCTAGTAAGTGTATGTTTAACTTTATATGAAACTGCCAAACTGTGTTTCACAGTGACTGTATCATTTAACATTCCCACTAGCAATGTATGAGAGTTCTAGTTCTTTAGTCTTCTCCAGTACTTGGTATTGCCTCAGTTTTTATTTTGATTATAATAGTTATGAAATGGTATCTCATTATGGTTCTTAATATGCATTTTCCTAATGACTAATGATGTTGAACATCTCTTCGTGTGCTTATTTGTCACCCATATATCTTATTTGGTGAAGTGGCTGTTAAATCTTTGGCATATTTTTTAATCAAGCTGTTTGTTTTCTTATTACTGAGTTTTTAGACTTCTTTTATATATTCTGGATAAGAGCCCTTCATCAAATATTTGATTTGCAAATATTTTCCCACAGTCTGTGGTTTCTTAATTCTCTAAACAGTGTCTTTCATAAGATAGATGTTCTATACTTTGATGAAGCTTATTTTACCAATTTTATTTTTTAGGAATTATGTCATAAATAAGAAATATTTGCCTAACTCAAGGTCACAAAGATTTCTCCTATATTTTCTTCTAGAAATTTTGCAGTTTTTTGGGTTTTACATTTAGATCTAAATCCTTATTTGGGGTTAATTTTTTTTATTGTGATGTGAATATAGAATGAGGTTTTTGAGTTTTTTCACATATGGATGTCCAATTGCTTCTGCACCTTTTGTTGAAAAGATTAAACATTCTCTATTGAATTACCTTTGCACATTTGTCAAAAATCAATTAACTGTATATGTGCGTGGGTCTATTTATGAGTTCTTTGTTCCATTTCATTAATCTGTGTCTCTCCTTTCCCTGGTACTACACTCTCTTAATCTCCATTGCTTTCTAGTAAGTTTTGAAATCATATAATGTGAGTCCTCCAACTGTATTCTCCTTTTTCAAAATTGTTTTGGCTATTCGAATTCCTTTGCTTTTCCATATAAATCTTTAAATCAGGGGCACCTGAATGGCTGGCTCAGTCACTTAAGCAACCGACTCAGGTCAGGTCATAATCTCACAGTTCGTGAGTTCAAGCCCTGCATTGGACTCTCTGCTGTTAGCACGGAGCCCACTTCAGATCCTCTGCCCCCCTCTCTTTCTGCCTCTCCTCCACTCATCCTCTCTCTCTCTTTCTTTCTCTCAAAATAAATAAATAAACTTAAAAAAATTTAAATCAGTTTGTTGCTATCAACAAGAAAAATCCTTCTGAAATTTTAATTATGATTGACTTGAATCTATAGATTGATTGGGGGAGAACAGACATCATAATATGAGTTTTCTGATCCAGGAATATCATTTCTCTCTCCATTTATTTGAGTCTTCTTTGACGTTTTTAAATCAGTGTTTTGTAGTTTCAATTTACAGACCCCATACATATTTAGACTTATACCTAAGTATTTCATTTTTTTGGTTGGTTTTTTTGTTTTCTGTTTTTTAAGAGAGATATATAGCTGATAGCTATAAAGCTTATTGACTCTGTACTCAGGCTAAAACTAGCTTTATTCCATCTTTTCCTCTGGTAAAAAAAGAAAATGAAGACAATAAAAACAGAAAAGTTGGCCTTACTGGTAAAATATCTGACAAAAGGTGGAGGAATTATACAAATAAGCATGTTACACAGTGTTCAAGTTCGGTGACAAACGGGGAGAGAAATTATGGAATGAAGATGAACTGTAATAACAGAAGCCTTTGGCTGACTTCTACTTATGCAAGGCTTTGTTCAAGGAGGAAGTGGCATGTCAAGAGATCTTCACAGAAAGAGGAGAACAATGAACTAAGAAATAAAGTTGATATGTATTGCCTGCTGCCTCCAATTCACCTGCCCTTCTCCCGGTAAGAGCACCCCCCATTTCCTCATGGAGAACCACCTCACTGCACTGTCACCCACCAGCTGGGGGTGGATCTGACTCTTCTTTCTGGCCCAGAAATGGGGCTGTACCTCACACCTGCCCACTGTGATCAGGGACAGCAGGTAACCAAGTTGGAAACAATGACATACCATGCATCCTCTGGAACCACTGGAAAAGAGGCTGGCCTTTCTCTTTCTTGAAAGAGAACTTGAACTTGAACACAGGAAGCACTTTGAGGCTGGAGCTCGTATGGCCACCTTGCTGCCATTAGAGGAGGGCTGAGATGAGAATGGGGTCAACCTAGAGGACGAGGAGCCCAGAGACACACAGAGGGAACGCTGGGCCCCAGGAATATTGCTTGAGTCCCTGGATCAAGCTGCATGTAAAGCTAGGCTTGTCCCTGGACTTTCCAGGTTGTGAAAGCCAATACGTTCTATTTTTGCTTATGCCAGTTTGGGTTGCGTTCTCTGTCACTTGCAACTAAAAGGTTCTCAGGTGATCCCTGGAGAATCTGAGCAGGTCTCAGGCAGGCAGTGAGTCCCAGGGACAGACACAAAGAGACAGATTGGCTGGGACTATGCTTTTACATGCTAGCTCCGTCTTGAGTGGACGATGTTGGTGAGCTCAGCCACCAAGTCCAATCTCACTCTTCCTCCATTTGGAGCATAAAGATTGCTGGGAACAAACTTGCCTGCTTCTTGGATCCAGGT